ACAGACAGAGAGGAGCGCACAGGGCTATAGAGACACAGACAGAGAGGAGCGCACAGGGCTATAGAGACACAGACAGAGAGGAGCGCACAGGGCTATAGAGACACAGACAGAGAGGAGCACACAGGGCTGTGCAGACACAGAGAGGAGCGCACAAGGCTATAGAGACACATAAAGATACAGAGAGGAGTATACTAATCAGTATACAGAAAAGACCTAGCTATTTATTAGTTATTAGATAATAACAAACCTGGCTGTCCTGAGAAGATAGGCTGTGCTCCCACTGCCAGCTGGGAGAAACAGAGACAGAGATGAACTTTTTACTGCACTGTGAGAAATACTCCAGATTAGACAAACACTGAATGAAATAACTAATCTGATCCCAGAATCTGCACTCCTGCCAGAATCAGAACAGCTCCCAATCCAACCGGGGTAGGCAACTCTAACAGAGCTGTAGCCCAGTGTGTGATCTCCTGTCCCAGCCTGAGGAGCAGTGAGCCTGTCTCTCAGTAATGTTTTATGTGATGTACGCGGCTGCCCAGTGATGCGTTTGTACTGTAAATGCCTGTAAAAGTTGCGTTAACTGTATATGTTTTGGCAACACTGTAAATCCGCTGCCACGCCGGTGAAGAGCGCAGAATCTGAATGAAACCGAATTTGCCAACAGCGTCCTGTCTGCTGGTCTAGTCTGGCGCTGCTGCGTGACGTCACCCCACCCGGTCCCGGTCCCGGTCCGCCCCGCCCCACAGCCCCTCGCGGGCGCAGGGACTGTCTCGGGGCGTACAGAGCGAGAAGAGCGAAACGCGGTGTTTCACCTGCTGAGTCCAGGCTGACTCCGGCTCCTCCGCTCCGGAGAACCCCTCTCCTACCCCTGCGAGTGTCAGGGAGTGACCCTCCCTCTCCCCGCGGAAAGTGCTGGAATATATGCAGAGAGCGGCGAGCCTCACCCCGTTTTCTCAGTTCCTTTCTCTACTCATCCCAACTCCCCCACCGCCTCAGTGAAACACTGTCATTAGTTTAAACAAGCAGGTCTACAGCACAGCGTAACTCCCCCCGCCTGCGTTACCGTAGGACGTCGACAATTGCGCGCCTCCAAACATTCCACACGTGGCCTCGCATTACCGTAAATACCCGAAACAACGGGACGCGTCGCGCCCCTCCAGCGTCTCTACAAGGGAGCTGAGGCCCGTTCGATAGGTAGTGAATTAATCTGAGGATCTCCACCAGCTGTTCCTTGAAAGAAAACAGATGTTGAGGATCTTACCAATATGGCTAGGGGGGCAGCTTGTTCCACACTCCCACCACTCTCTGTGTAAAAGAAGAGCGCCCACAGGGTGGGGGAAGATGCACAGTGGATGTTATAATTTGGGCAGGTAGGAGGGGGTGACATGGGAAGGTAGGTTCCTTCATTCCTTCTGGCCTTCTGGGATCCCCACAGTGACGCTGGGAGCCAGGAACTCCTCTGGATCAACAGCGAGTCAGTGGTCACAGATTGTCTCCACCATCCCTCTGATTGAGCAGGCGGCAGGGTGGCTCAGTGCTGCGGCCCTGGGTTCAGATTCCAGACCTGAGGGTCTGTCTGTGTGGAGTCTGCATGTTCTCTCCCTGTTCGTGTGGGTTTCCTCTGGGAGCTCTAGTTTTCCACAGACCTGCTGGGAGGCCGACTGGGCTGCTGGGAAAATTGGCCCTGGTGTGAGTGTGTCTGCCCTGCGATGGACTGGTGTCCTGTCCAGGGTGTACCCCGCCCTGCGCCCACTGCTTGCTGGGACGGGCTCCAGCTGGAGGAAGCAGTTAGAAAACCGGTGGATGGGCGACTCTGATTGGATGAGATGGTGCTCATGGCCAGGAAATGAAACAAACTCTGAGTCTCCTCTCCCAGCACTGCCCTCTAGCTGCTGAACAGGGGTTCGAGGACTGAGCCTGCTGTCTGTGAGGTTTCCAGGCTGTAGCCCCCTTTTTCCTTCTTTGCAGCACCTTACTGAGGGCTCCCAGGGCCTCTGCTTCACCCACACCGCTGGGCAGCTTGTTCCACGCACCCACCACTCTCAGATCAGCTGTGAAGTGCAGCCCCACCAGAGACTCAGGTCCTCTGTGCTTGAAGTGGGACAGTATATATTGCACACATGCAGCACTGCAGTGTCAGTGCTTAAAAGGCACCTTTGAGCAGGTGTGAGACTGGCCACTGGGATCTGTTAACTAGCCTTTACCAAAAGGTATGGGAAGACAGGACACAGCTGACTCACTTTCACTGTGACAACTGACTTCCTCCTACAAGGCGTTAAGAGTAGAATTGATCACAAAGCAAAGGACAGGACAAGCATCACAAACACACCATAAAACAATACAAACTCTCAAAGGACAGGACAGGCACGCAGTGTGACACAGTAACTCTTGTCTCTCAGTGTGACACAGTACCTCTTGTCTCTGTATGTCACCTCTTGCAATGTGTGC